TCTATGATGTTGCTAAGTGTACTTCATAGTGCTATTACTTGCACTTAAAATTCAAATTATTTGCTAAAATGACACCCCATTTTTATCTCTCCTTGCTTTAAAGCTGTTAGATATTTTCAGATAGACAACTCTAATTTGTTTCTAGTTCTCTTCTGGGTGTCATGCTCATATGAGAATACGCTCCCACATGAGAACTTTGGACAAATTGTAGTCATAGAAAATAAGTGATCAATTGAAATGTTCAAAAATCACCCTAAATCCATGTGTCCAAATAGCAATCCAAATCACTCATAAATATCAATTAAGGGGCAAATCTATCTAAATAAAATTTTAACCTTCTGTCAAAATAGGTAAGTCAGCGACAAAATAGGAATTTCTATAATATTAAACCTTTTTATTTAAATAATAAATTATTGTTATTATTATTAAATATAAGAAAAATCTAATTGTTTTGTTAATGCCGGATACTTTAATTTAGCGAGACAAACACGTGAATTAGAGATTAGTAGAAGGGTGTTGTGTTGTGTTGTGCTCTGTCTACTGCACTCAGGCACAACATCGTGTGCACCACAGAATGCTGTCGGAAACCCAGAATCGTATACACAATTCCATATTGCACTATACACACTTATATATTGCATTGTGCACACTCGACACTCTAATATTGCCTTGTGCAACGTTCAAATTGAAATAGACACATAAGCATCAGGCACCACCACTACTAGCTAGCCAGGAAAAAGGGGATCAAAAACCCTTGTTGATTCACATACATGACTAGTGTACAAATATGTCATTATATGCAAACAACACTACAAATGAATGTGCACGCATATGTACTATAGTGCACACACGCCACACTTATACATTGTATTGTGCACACGTTCACATTGAAATGCATACATACCACCATCATCACCAGGAAAACAATGATAAAAAATCATAGTTGATTCACATACCTAACTAGAGCATAACCACATCTTTAGATGCAAACCAACAAATGCACATGCATATGTACTATAGAGCATACATGCCACACTTATACATTGCACTGTACACACTCTAAAATTATATACTGTACACGTTTACATTGAAATGCACACATACACATCATGCACTACTTCCACCAGAAAGGGAAACAATGATCAAAAACTTAGTTGATTCACAAACTTGAGTAGTACACAAACACATCATCATTAGATGCAAACCACGTCACAAGTAAATGCACAAAATTATGTACTATAGTACACAAATTGCAAGTTTACAATGAACATGAACACAAAGTGCATACTAGACCACGATGAAGTGCACACATACGACAAAATCCAGTCGTGAAAAACTGACAATTCACACCCACTAATTAAGACCACAGTGCACAATAGTGCATTCCCGTAATTAAAGACTACACATAAATCAATCATAAATCATAAATATATATAATATTATACGTACGATATATAATACTGATTATTACTCTTTCAAAACCAGTCCCCTTTATTTATCCATGTTTACATATAGTAATATGTACACATTCTAATATGCTAATGGTGTCTAAGTTGATTAGTTTGACTCAACTACCTTAATTGTAGGGTAAGAAATTTGAGTTTGGTAATAATGCATAAACTAATATAGATTATATTATGTGAGTTTTGTTTTTTGATTGAGCATTTAGACTCCTTGATCGAATTGTAGTGTACTTATATACATTCGCACACACTGACACACATCATCACGTGTGTGGTGCGTGGTTGTGTGTGCTCTAGTATCGCAGTTATCTACAAGATCTGATATATTGGATTAGTTTTTAGTTTTTCAATCCATATATATGGTGCCAAGCTTGTGTGCTCAAGAAATAAAATGTGTAGTCTAAAATTGATATGGCTTGGAAGTTCTATTATGATAATTGAGAAGATCGAAGACCCAAAGTGAAGGATCTCGGATTCTCACTTTGTGAAGATCTCTTATCTTGAAAGTGTATGAATTTTCAAGAATATCATATCATAACCTCTTTTTTTTTGCCTCAATAATTAATTATTTTTTACATGACAAATTAGTCTAAGTTGTTTAATGTTTATAGTTGTCTGGCTCAAATAAAAAATAAAAAAAAAAAGTAAATAAATAGGTATTTGAATTTGTAACCTTATGACTACCAAATCAACCACCTATCCAACTTGATTAATTGGTAACTTGGGATTGCTCCCAATTGATTAGTTTTCTTTACTTAAAAACATTCCATATATCTCCACAATACTTTTTTTTTTGTCCAATAGATCAGAGGGACCAACGTTGTCCCTAGAAATTAATAGATGCACCTAGTAGCCATCCCTCTCCATGAGGATAGAAATGCCATCAGGAGGATCTTTCAGAAGCTAAGTACCCCACTCTCCATGTTGTCCCAAATTAGTGAGAAAGTCAGCACACGTGTTATCTTCTCGGAGAGTGTGGAGGAAATCTCAGTCCTAAATTTGTCTAAGCATGCATTTACAGTCAGTCAGTCATGAATCAAGGTGTCCGCTTCAAGTCTAGAACCATCCTCATTCTTGACTGCATTGATCATAGCTTCAGGGTCCGTCTCAATAACAATTCTGTTAATACCATGCTTTTTAACAAGGCACACACCATCCCTCAAACCCTAGAGCTCAGCTATGAAACTACTTGGAGACCCAATCTTGGTGATATATCTCCACAATATTGCTTTGCAACTTAACACTCTAAGACAATCCATTATTTTTTCCTCTTTTATTTATTTTTTATTTATTTTTTATTTTTTTTTATTTCAACTTTCTTAACTTAATTTTACAAATGTCTATATTGATAGTATGTATTAAATCAGATGTTTAACATCAACATGTATGCATGTATGAGTACTACAAAATATTTAAAATTGGGCTATACCAAATAAAAAAAAAAAAAAACATTACAAGATTGGAGTTAATTAAAGTTTTTTTTTTTTTTTTTTTTTTTTTTTTAAACACAATCAATTACCCAAAGCTTTGTCGTTGAAATGTTGGCATATATTGTCCCCCTGCGTTGAATAATCATCGATAACACACCTACTTTTTCATATGTTACTTTGTAGTGGATCGGGAAATGATCAACAACTTTCTTCTCACATTTATTGCAACCTTTAATTATTAGGTTACATTTGTGTGAGATCGTCTCACAAATTATTATTCGTGAGTCGGATTGGGTTAATATACAAATATAATATTTATACTATAAAATATAATATTACATCAGAAATAAAATATTTATTACCTATAAAAAAATGTAATACTTTTATATTTTGATATAAAAGTATCATTTTTTTGTAATCAAATTAATGTCTTCCCTTATAAATAATTTTCACTTATAAAGAAAAATGTAATAAATTTAGATGAAAAATGTTATCAAAATGTAAAAGTATTACATTTTTTTTAAAAGTATTACATTTTTCATATAAGTAATAAATATTTTATTCTTGATTTAGTATTATATTTGCCTGTATAAGTATTATATTTTATCTTGATCCAACCTATTTGACAGATAAGGATTCGTGAGACAGTCCTATTCAAGTTTTCGCTTTAATTATTTGGGAGAAATCAGCTCATGCCCCTAGCTAGCTATATCTATCAACTATTTGAGATTCTAAGTGTTGGGATGGCTCCTTTCAGTAGAGTCTTGTCAATAACCCCCAATGCTTAATTTACTTGTCTCCTCTTCATTGGATAAAACCATACCTATTCAATATTCCCTAAAGGGATTTCATCACTGATGATACTAAATCCTAGTTAATTAAAGAGGGGAAACAAGTGATTAATCGGGTATGAGTACACCAGACAATTATGAATACGACCCGTTAACACAACACAAAACTGGACACAAAAATAACGGGTTAGTATTTAGCCTTAACATGTCTCGGGTTGTTAACAGGTTGATCCGTTAAGGACCCGTTATATTTTGTATCTTAACGGATCAACTCGTTAATATTATCGTTTTAACCTGTTTACACGTACAAACCTATTTATAACCCGCTAAGAATCATTGTCATGAATGAGATTACAAAAGATATCATGAACATGACTAAGGATGAATTTTACTATATTAGGCCAAGATCCTACACCAATTATTGATGTTCAACAATCTTAAATTTGAATTTTTATTAGGGGGAATCGCACTTTTGGTCCCTCAATTAATGTCAATTCTGCAATGTCATCCCTAATTCCCAATTTGGACATAATTGGTCCCTCAATTATTCGTCCACTAAGCAGTTTTGGTCCTTCTGTGACTATGGCCGTTTGACACCATTTAAATCAAGGGTAAGGGTGGAATTTCGCACATCATTGGTTTTACTTAATCATTTTCAGCCCGTTCCTCCGCCATTCTCACCCATTTCCGCCACCACACATGAAGAACCCTAACCTCCGCCATTGACACCTTTCCACCACTTCGAATAGAATATGCTATTAAGGACGCCATCCGCAATGACTAGTAGGAGAATTAATGGGTTAAACAGCACTCCTACTTGTAAGTTTTCAACCCTAATTTTTTTTTTAATTCTAACTGCTTGTTTGTTTTGTTGTTCGCACATTTAACTGGGCAATGTATTTTGTCTTACTATTATGTTAACATGTGCATTTTGTTGTGTTCTATGTTAATGTTTGGTGGGGACCAAAGAAACACATGTACTGTAATAGAAAAAGCGAAAAAGGAGAAAGCATATGGGGACCATTTTTACTTGCCTGGAATTGAATATATGTATTTTGTGTTAGTTTCCCAAAGTGCATCTAAAAGTGCCTACATTTATTCTGTGTTGTTGGGACCTATGAAGTAGACCATTTTCACTGCAATTAATTGTTTTACTGCATTGTATAGATGTTGGTGAAGAATCCTCTGTCTTTAGCATAAAACTCCATATTGGTGGGGATTTAGTATGGCATCCAACTGTTGGTTATAGGGATGGTGGAGTTTAGTTCTTTGACCATTTCAACTGTGATGAGGGCAGTATACTAGATTTAAGGAGAATGCTGAAACAATTGAGGTATGCTGATAAAAAGGTGCAATTTTGGGATCTGGTTAAGGTTAAGGGTAATGGTAGGAAGAAGCCAACAAAAACTGATCTTAAGCCTCTACTGAATGATGCAGACATAGTTAGTTTAGTTGAAGAGGTTCCACCCAACAAGGAGGTAGAAATATTTGTTGAACATTTATTTGATGACCAATGGGATTACGAGGTAGACATATCTAGAGAATTGGGAGATGATTGCCTACTCTATGATGGAATAAACCAGAGTTCTGAAAATGAGGATGAGGTTGAAGGTGAAGATCAAGGTGAGGAAGACCCTAATCTTATGGACACTAGGGCTAGTTCTAAGCAGGTCAATCCTGCTGTTGGACTGGAAGGGGGTGAAGTACAAGAAGTAGAGTGCCAATTGTCTGAAGAGGTGTTTAAGAGTTTAGAGAATTCTGAAGATTCTGATGGGGGAGACAGTGGTGTACAGAATGTTTTTGAAGAAAGGAACTTGAAAAAAGAAGGCTTTAAGTTTGAGATTGGAATGATTTTCAAAACATCAGATGAGTTTAAATGGGCTGTTAAATATTATGAGGCAACTAGGAGAAAAGATATCCACTTTAAAAACAATGAAAGCAGTAGAGTGAGGGTTGTGTGTAGACACAATGACATATGCAACTAGACAATTTTTGCCTCAAGAAGCAATCCAAAAAGTCCATTTCAGGTTAAAACATACATTCCAGAACACACATGTGGGGATCAAGATGAAAATAGAACTGTGAAATCTGGTTTTCTAGCCAAAATGTACAAGGATGAAATTAAACTTAATACAGAATGGGGTAGAATACAGTTTCAAGAACATGTGAAGGCAAATTTGAAATGTCAGGTCAGTAAACACCAGGCATATAGGGCTAAACAAAAGGCTCTTAAGCAACTGGAAGGTGATGTTTCAGAACAATTCAACTTACTCAATGATTACTGTGAGGAATTGAAAAGAAGCAATCCGGGAACTTCTGTGAAGATGAAACTTGATAGTGAGTTTACTGTCAATGGAATACCTAGGTTTCTGAGACTCTATATTTGCTTTGCAGCCTGCAAAGAAGGGTTCTTGAGAGGATGTAGACCTTTCTTTGGGTTAGATGGTTGTCATCTTAAGGGTTGCCAGAAGGGAGGGCAACTTTTGAGTGCTGTAGGTGTTGATGGAGATAACAGCTTGTTCCATATAGCATTTGCCATTGTTGAAGGGGAATTGAAGGACAGTTGGTTATGGTTCTTGAAACGATTGGACAGTGATCTTAATATTTTAAGTAACCCTCATGCTTGGACATTGATTTCAGACAAGCAAAAGGGATTGATACCTGTTGTTGAAGAATTGTTTCCGGGAATGGAGCATAGATTCTGTGTTAGGCACATGCATGCTAACTTTGTAAAGGATGGTTTCAGTGGGAATGTACTCAAGCAGAAACTGTGGGCAGTGTGTAAAGCAACAACAGAAGCAGAATATAGGCGGCAAATGGAGGAGTTAAAAAAGATAAATGCTAAGGCTGCTGATTGGTTAGCTGCAAGAGATGCTAAACATTATTGTAGGGCATATTTTAGTACATTTCCTAAGACAGATTTGCTACTTAACAATTTGTGTGAATCATGGAATAGCACTATCCTAAATTTCAGAGATAAACCAATCTTAACTTTGTGTGAGAAGTTAAGAATATATCTTATGACTAGGATGCAAAAAAATAGAGAAAGACTAAAAAATCATCCGATGAAGATTTGTCCAAAGATATGCAAATTGATAGAAGAGGAAAAGGATAGGGCATGCAGGTACAATACTTATAAGTCTGCTGAAAACATGTACCAAGTAGATGATGAGAATTTTAAGGTCTTCAAGGTGAGTTTACTCCAGAAACAGTGCAGCTGTAGAAGGTGGGATCTCACAGGCATCCCTTGTAGTCATGCAATTGCAGCTATAAGAAAACAAAGGGAAAGACCAGAAGACTATGTACACAATTGCTATACAGTGGACTCTTATTTCAGAGCAGATGAGCCAGCAATACTACCAATCTCATCTTCTGAGTTGTGGCCCAAAACCAATCTTCCAGCTCCACTCCCCCCAAAATATAAGGCACAACCTGGGAGGCCTAAAAAAAAAAGAGAAAGATCAGCCCTTTTGAAGAAACCAAGAAGGACAGCCTTGCACAAAGAACAAGGAAAGTTGGAGAAGTCAAAAGGTGCAGGGTTTGTGGTCAAAAAGGACATAATAAAGGAACTTGCAAAGGAAACAATCCACCACAGGTATTAGTTGGACCTGCATTGTTTTGTAAATAAAACTGCCTTGTTTTTTAATGTTATTGATTTGTAGGTACATGAGATGGATGAGGTGGTAGTTGGACAGGGTGATGTACACATTCAAGGCCAGTTTGAGGATATCCCAGTTGAGACACAAGTGCCAACTTTTGTACTTGATGAGATGGTAAGTTAATGACCACCATCAGCATTTAATACTTTTAGTTTGACAGTCAGTTGAATTTACCCTTGTTTGTTATGGAATTGCAGGAGGTAATGACATCTCAACCATCACAATTAGTTCAGAGCCAAGTCCCTCCACTGTCCCACTTTATTTCTTCACAACAGCCAAGTGGAAGTGCTACTCCAACTGTCATCACAAGAGCAGGGAAAAAATTTGTAACAATCTCAAGCCTGCAACAAGCTAATGCAGTCCAGAGAGAGGCAAGGAAAAAAAAAAAAAGCTACTCAAATGAAGAAACAAAACTGAATGTTAACTTTGGTGTATTTTTGTAGTAATATGAAACTATGAAACTTTTGATGCATTTTGGTCTATTTTGGTCTATTTTGGTAGAAGTGGTTACTTATGTAATCTTTGATCTTTTGGTAAACTTTGATCTTTTGTAAACTTTGATCTTTTGATCTGACAGGGTGGTTCAATTTAACATGTTAATGAATTGCTTTTGTCTACTCTTTGGCAGTTTATTTTGTTGTATACTTTGGCCTTTAGTCAGTAGATTTAGTTCAGTCTGGCCTTAACAATTGGTTGCCAGTTAGGCACTTTCCCAGTAGACACTTTTTACTACTTTGGTGTGCAGTTTTCCAGTTTGTATTTAAGAATTAGACAGTGGCTTTGGGTCTTAACAATTGGTTACCATCCCTTGCCATTCAAATATACTTAATATTCATCTCAATATAAAAATATACTTTCCATTCAACTGAAAAAAAGTTTCATTTCCTTACATAAAACTGCTTAGCATTAAACTCAACCAAATCTGGAATTGAACCTCAAAACAATTCTTACATAGTACCACTAATTTCTAAATACTACTTCAACTGGAAAAACTTGGGACTTTGTTCACTAGTTTCCATCCCAATTCCCACACAAACAAGGGCAACTGCAATACCAAGTGCAAACCCATAAAAAAATGAAAATTTAGACTCCAACTTCATCTTCTTCATCGCACCATTTTCTTTTTCAATAAGTGTTTGTAACTCTTGGATTTCCATCTCCTTCTTATCCAACCTTTTCAATAGCCCTCTAATGACTCTGGAAACACGCTCGGAGACATCGTTGTCAATCCACTCAAAATACCAACAATTGCCGTTGCCCTGATGGGAAGTGTAACAAACAAACACAAATTAACTGAAATTTTGTAACTTTTCTGGCCGGTATTTAATTATAATGGTTTTGTAAACTTACTCCATAATGTGGACAAGCTCTATATCTCTTCCCTGGATTCGCAGTACTCCATGACATCTTTACCGGAGCAACCTCGCCGCACCAACATCGCACTTCTGGCATCCATTGTGTTGACCCGATAGTGTTGAAGACATTGCGAATGGCGTCCTTAATAGCGTATTCTATTCGAAGTGGTGGAAAGGTGTCAATGGCGGAGGTTAGGGTTCTTCATGTGTGGTGGCGGAAATGGCTGAGAATGGCGGAGGAACGGGCTGAAAACGATTAAGTAAAACCAATGATGTGTGAAATTCCACCCTTACCCTTGATTTAAACGGTGTCAAACGGCCATAGTCACAGAAGGACCAAAACTGCTTAGTGGACGAATAATTGAGGGACCAATTATGTCCAAATTGGGAATTAGGGATGACATTGCAGAATTGACATTAATTGAGGGACCAAAAGTGCGATTCCCCCTTTTTATTATGTTCAATTTTATTCTAAAAACTAGCATAAACTTCTTTAATTATGATTTTTGGATGTTACTTTATCATTTTATGAATGTTATAAATTTAATATTTTTTTAGTTTGTTTGATGGATTGAATTGTAGGATTTTTTTTTTTTTTTTTTTATATAACTTAACTTTAAATTTTAGTTTTTTTAATATATTAATAGGTTTAGCGGGTTTAAACGAGTTACGTGTCATATCGTGTCGACACAATCAGAAACCTGTTAACAAAACGTGTCTATCGTGTTAACACGTTTGACCCGTTAACAAATCGTGTTCGTATTCGTGTTAAAAATTTGAACCCGTTAACCTTAACGTGTCGTGTCCGTGTTTAATTAACCGTATCGTGTTCGTGTCATTATCATGTTGACCCGTTAATGAACCCATATATGCGAATTGTTAGGTCTAGGTATGAGTTAATCTTATGTTTAGTTCATAATTTCAGTGATTTAATGTGACACTAGTAACATGTTAAATTTTTTACAATTGTTAACTTCATCGTATAGAATTAATGTATGAGATTGATGACTATTAGTTATATTTGAAATTCATAAATTTGCTCATCATATAATTTATGGTAGGGTATAGAATTAATGTATGAGATTGATTTAGAATAATTAATTGATTTTATATCAGTTAATTTGTAATTTTTCTTGTAAAAAGTTTAAAAACATACGTTTATAGAAATATATTTTTATTTACTTAATACAAATTATCCTCTTTTTTTTTTTTTTTTTTTTTAATCTAGGTTTTTAGAGTTCGCCATAATAATATATCTTATACCCCATGAACCCACTCTAGGCCACTGTTGTAAAAATCGGTCGAGGCGCTAGGCGCCCCTAAACCGTGACGATTTTCCCCCTAGGCGTCCGCCTAGCACCTAACTCGGTTGACTTGGCCGCCTAGCGTCTAACTTAGCCAAGTTAACTCGTCCATTTCGGTCGAGTTAACCTGATCAGCTCGGTCTGACTAATTTTTTATCATTATATATATATATATATATATATATATATATATATATATATATATATATATATATATATATACATATATATATATATATATATATATATACACACACACACACACATACATACGTATATATAATATGATATATATACCCCGTAGACTAGTTTGATACTTTGAATCTTTAGATGATTGAAATATTTGAGTATTTTTAATTTTTAATATTGTTTTAATGTTATGACTTATAAATTATCATTATTTCATTTATTTGGATGTGTTATTTGATTGAATGTTGAAAACAGCCTCATTAAAATTGTCAAACTGCAAGTCTGCTACTGTTTTTTTGGCGTCCGCTTAGCGCCGCCTAAATTCCGCCTAGACCGCTTAGGCGCTAGGCGCTGTCCTAACGCCTACTGCAACCTTGCTCCAGGCCCATAAGGAAGTTAGTCGATCGAGCTAATCTAGCTACTAAATGGTACACTTTTACGCACAACGAACCCAACCGTACACAAACCAAACCACAATACTCGAGGTAAAAATCGAACCCCATTCCTACCTCACCATACTGTTAGGAAACAAATTTTACAATTTGTCCAAAGGTTACAAAATATTTGTCCAAACATGGCAGGAAGTTAAGAGAAAGAAAGGGAATGATCATAAACACGTTTGCAGAATTGGAACCATAGGCTGTGAAAGCATTGGAATCTGACCTGAATTTGCCCCCGGTTATGTATTAAATCAGATGATTAACAATTTAACATCAACATGTACGCATGCATGAGTAATACAAAATAATTAAAATTGGGCTATACCAAAAAAACATTACAAGATTGGATTTAATCAATTTTTTTTTTTTTTAAATTTTAAACGCAATCAATTACCGAAAGTTTTGTCGTTGAAATGTTGGCATATATTGTCCCTCAGCGTTGAATAATCATCAACAACACACCTGCTTTTTCATTCTTTCCAATTTAACGTCCCACACTCGATCTGACAAAGCATTGAGTAATTCAACTGAACATGAATCACAGAGGCTAGACCTTTGCTTACTGCGCAAAAGGAACCCCCTCACTTTAAGAGGTTGCTCCCACACTGCCGCTGGTGAGACTCAATCCCTGATCATTCTTTCCAAACTTCACCTCTATGACCAATTGAGCTGCTCATGCGGACCACACCTGCTTTTTCATATGTTACTTTACAGTGGATCGGGAAATGATGAGCAACTTTCTTATCACATTTATCGGGCGTTTGGTTGAAAGAAGAGAATTAAGAAAGAAAAAAATTATAATTTAGTGATAAAATAATAATGTGGAAATAAAGAAGAGATTCAAATTATATTGTTTTGTAGAGGGTAATAGAATTTTGGGAATGAGAAATGAAGAAGTGATATAAAGACTAAAATATCCTTGTGTAATAATAATAATAATAATAATAATAATAATAATAATAATAATAATAATAATAATAATAATAATAATAATAATAATAATAATAATAATAATAATAATAATAATAATAATAATAATAATAATAATAATAATAATAATAATAATAATAATAATAATAATAATAATAATAATAATAATAATAATAATAATAATAATAATAATAACAATAATAAAGGGCAAAATTGTAAACTTTTTTATTTTTCCATTGCACCCATGTTGAATTGGAATTCTTTGGCGGGAGTGTATGAATTGTAATTCAATGAGGGAATTGCAATTTCATCCGATCATACAGTGTAATTGGCATGGATAATGAATTTCATTGTAAAGGAATTGAAATTCATGCCAACCAAGCATCCCATTAAGAAAAATTTAATACTTTTTATGACAAATGTAATACTTTTATATTTTGATGTAAAAGTATCACCTTTTTTTTTTTTTTTATTTATCAAAAGTATTATATTTTCCCTTATAAGTAATATTGCACTGATAAAGGAAAATGTAATACTTTTACATCAAAATGTAAAAGTATTATATTTTTTTTAAAGTATTACATTTTTCCATCACTACTACAAAAATGGTATACTACGACATTTAATAGATCAAAAGACAGTTTTTTAAATAACCGCATTCTAATATATATTATTATACTATACGTCACATAATAGACGACAGTTTTTTTAAATAACCACCTTCAAAGGTATGTATTTTTTTTCAATATCATTAATACGGCATGTATGTTTATGATTACACGGCTGTTTTTTAACCGCCGTATATAGGCAACATACACGGTGATTTTTAATTTAAAATCGTTGTGGAAAATATTTATTTACCACGTCAGTCACTTACACGGTACTTCAAAAATCGCAGTGTATGTGTAAAAATAACTGCCGTGGTAGCTATGTTTTGTAATAGTGTATAGAAGTAATATAATAATCTTTTATTCTTGATTTAGTATTATATTTACAAATATAAATATTACATTTCATCTTGACCCAATTCGTCTCACAGATTTTTGTCCGTGAGACGGTGTCACACAAGTTTTTGACAAATTCTTTTAAGAGAAATGAGCTCATGCCCCTAGCTAGCTATATCTATCAACTATTTGAGATTCTAAGTGTTGGGATGGCTCCTTTCAGTTGAGTCTTGTCAATCACCACAATGCTTAATTTACTTATCTCGTCTTCATTGGCTAAAGTCATACCTATTCAATTTTCTCTAAAGGGGTTTCATCACTCATGATAATAAATCCTAGTTAATTAAGGAGGGGACACAAGTGATTAATCGGGTATAAGTTAATATTATGTTTAGTTCTCAATTTCAGTGATTTAATGTGACACTAGTAACATGTTAAAACTTTTACAATTGTTAACTTGACCAAAATATGTATATGGTGGGAGAAGGGGAGAAGAAAATATATATGCGGTATAGAACTAATGTATGAGATTGATGACTATTAGTTATATTTGAAATTCATAAATTTGCGAGATTGTTGTAATGGCGAAGGAGATAGCTCTAGACTTGATTTTGTCTATATAATTAGGAATTCCGTCTCTAATTCAACTCTGGACGTTATACATAGTTGCCAACATACTAAAAGGACAATATTACCCATCTATCAAATGGTGATTTAACATGAAAACTAACAGAGGTTCGATTTAGGTAACATTTTCGTAGTTAAGGGACAAAATTGAACAACAAAAATAGTTAGGAGACTTTGTCGAGAAATCGCAATAGTCAAGGGAACCCAGCTGGTATAATCTCGATTTATTATTGAATAGTCCGATACCCAAGGGCAAGACACATTATTATTCAACATATAAAATAATCCTCTCTTCCATCTGATCAACCCCAATCCTCTCTTTCATTCCATGATCATGGTTACCTATGTACATATACCTACAATATATATAGTATGTGAATTTTGGCTTGACTTAATTAGCTTAAAAGGCCCATAAATTTTACCGTTATAGTTTCCACATTAAATCATTGTGTCTGATTATTCAATTATTGCATGTCAATACGTTACATCATTAAATATTTTTTATGGAGAAATCAATTTTTTCCATCAAGGATAACCCTTTTATTAAATTCTTCATAATTTCATCTCTGATCTCCATAGCTCCCAACAATGCTCCCCGACATCTAATTATTATTTTCTCTTTTTATTTCTTTTATTTTTAAATACTTGAAGTTTTTATAACTACAACTAAAAAGAACAGGCATGTTTATCGACTCTTTTTTTTGAAAGCAAAGCTGCAAATTTTCATTACTGTAAGTGTGGAATAATAGCATCAGGAGGGACATCGTCCCAATACATAGTAATATCCTGGTCAGAGACCAACGAAGCTAATGTATGAGCAATAATATTTAAACGTCTAGGAATAAAACGAAATTGACATGAATTAAATTGTGCCATAAACACTTGACACTCATGAACCACAATTCCAACATATGATCTGGGCTGCGAGCCAACTCTGGATAGATAGGATTGTAGGACCGAACAATCTGTGAAAATTGTAATTTCTGTTACTTGCCGATCTTTCAACCAAGATAACTCCTCCTTACAAGCTAGAGCTTCCGCTGTGATAGCATTTTCACAAAACGGAAGTCGACCAGTCGTTGCCGCCACAAAGCCTCCGCGCCCATCTAACATTACTGCCCCAAACGCTGCTGTCCGTGATAAGGGGATCCATGCCGCATCTACATAGCAGATTGGTCCATCTGGCGTGACAGCGTGATATTGCTGCTGTGCCGTTGGAGGCGTTTGTGACCGAGCTGCTGCCACGGCAGTGAGGGTTGCTTTGGCGCTCAACCACAACTTCTTCGGCATCTTCATACTCCCCTCCCAAACTCGCGCGATCCAGAGGTGATATAAGACTGCAACAATTTGAATAAGATTCTCCATCGTTAGCACAGTCATTGCATTCTGAAACCACTCAACAAAATATCCCCCAAACACAGAAGTTATATCAAGGCAAGATTCATTCCAAACTCGACAAGCATATTGACATTCTATTAAGCAATGCATAACGTCCTCATTAAAATCAAGACATATAGGACAGGATAGAGACACATCAACTCTTCTAATTGCCAAGTCTGTTGTAGTTGGCAAAATACCACTTATGGCTCTCCACAAGAAAGTTTTCCACCTTGGTGGCACATCCAATTTCCATAATGCATTCCATCTATCAAAACCAGTATTATTTTGTATTTCTCCCACTACCGACCGGTAAGCACTTTTGACAGAGTATGATCCATTCTGCTCCTTGTACCAATACCATGAATCCTCATAATCCGGACAAACAGGCACCCTGCGGATTCTATTTACATCAATGGGGTCAAAAATATCATTCAAAATATCCAGGTCCCAGGTACGAGTATCCTGATCAATCAAACCTGATACTCCCGCCTCATAGATATTATCTGGTAAATCAGTATGGATCTTATAATCCAAATCCAATAGCCAAGGATCCTTACCTATCAATGTTGTTTGTCCATTCCCAATTCTCCTCCTTATCCCTCCACATACAAGTTCATGGGCAGCCATAATACTTCTCCAACAATAACTAGCGCTATTTCCCACAGTAGCATCTATAAAATTAGATTTAGGGAAATACCTTGCTTTATATACTTTTGTAACCAAAGATTCTAGCTTTGTAAGGAAACGTCATGCCTGCTTCCCCAGCATTGCAAGATTAAAGGCCTTTAGGTCCTTAAAACCCAGCCCCCCAGCTACTTTGGGCATACTGAGACGATCCCAAGCCATCCAGTGAATACCTCCTCCACCTGCGCCCCCCTTCTCCCAATAGTACCTATTCATAGTCCTCTGAATCGCCACACAAAGTGAGTTCGTTAACAAAAAGACACCCATTGAAAAGGTAGGCATAGCCTGGACTACCGTTTTCAACAGAATCTCCTTACCAGCTTGTGACAACAATTTCTTATTCCAGGATCCCACCCTTTGCCGAATCTTTTCCTCAATGTAAGCGAAGACCTGTTTCTTATTTCTACCAATAAACGACGGTAGCCCCAAATATTTCCCGAAGTCAATCGCCTGGGCCACCCCCAAAACTGCGGCCACCTCCCCCCCTTATCTCTTCCGATGTATTTTTACTAAAGCAAATACTGGATTTACGATAATTTATAGACTGGCCAGACAACTTTTCATAGAACTCTAAACATCGCTTAATTGCACCCCCTTCCTGGGTATTTGCCTTAAAGAACAAGAGGCTATCATCTGCAAAAAACAAATGAGAGATAGCCGGAGCCCCTCTTGCTACTCTACACCCATGGATAGCTCCCATAGACTATGCCTGCTGCAACATCAAGGACAATCCCTCTGCGCAAATAATAAACAGATAAGGAGACAAGGGGTCTCCTTGCCTGAGGCCCCGTGTTGGCACCACAACTCCTCCAATTGCACCATTTATAAGGATGTTGTACGAAACCGAAGTAACACACAACATAATCAAATTTACCCATCTTTCTGCAAATCCCAGCGCTCTCATCATCTGTCTCAAAAAAGTCCACTCCATCTTATCATACGCTTTAGCCATATCCAGCTTTAGGGCCCCCCAACCAGCCTTTCCACATTGCTTCCTATTAAGATAATGTCCCACCTCAGCATCAATTAGGATATTATCTGTTATCAACCTGTCAGGAATGAAAGCATTCTGTGATTCCGAAATAATAGTATCCATAAACGGCTTCATCCGGTTCGCAATCATTTTAGCCATAATCTTATAGACCACATTGCTTAATGCGATTGGCCTTAAATCTGCAGGACTCTCAGGGACCTTCTTTTTGGGGATTAGGACAACATTAGAATCATTTAATCCCTTCCGGAAAACACCCGTATTAAGACAATTGAGCACAAATTCTGTCACCTCAGCTCCCACAACACCCCAGAAGTGCTGATAAAAGCCTGGATTCATTCCATCCGGCCCCGGTGCCTTATCCGGAAACATAGCAAATAAAGCTCCTTTCACCTCTTTCGCCACAAATGGTTTCAATAAAGACTCATTATGCAATTCAGACACACGAGGGGGCACCGTATCAAAAAAGTACTATGAGACGGGGCATTAGATGACTTAAAAATATCAACAAAATAATCAATAACAACAGCATTCATAGCACCCTTAGTAACCCAGCTTCCATCCACCCCTTTTAATCTAGTCAGATAATTTTTCCGCTTACGAGATGAAGCATACCTAAGATAGAATTTGGTGTTTGCATCTGCCCCACGGAGCCAATGCTGTTTCGCCCTTTGTCGCCAATAGATATCCTCCTGCGCCTCCAGACGGAACAATTGAGCACTGATTGTATTGTACTCAGCCAGCACTGCGGGGCTTCTGCCTCCTTTCAGTCTCATCAGTTTGGCATGTAATAGTTTCAACTGCTTACCAAACATATGAAACCGATCTCCACCCCAGGCCTGCAATCGGTCCTTACACAACTGTAGGTTATTCAGCAGCCCATTCCCCTGTCCATCAAGCCATGCCTGCTCCACCACTCCTCTACAGCCTGAATCCAGAAGCCAAGCCATTTCAAAGCGAAACGCCTGGCGACCACCTCCACCAAATCCTATAGGATTAGAAATACTCAGAAATATCACCGAGTGATCTGACTTACGTGTGAGTATATTAACCGTCTTGGCTTCTACCAACAGCTCACGCCACTCCATAGTTGCTACTGCTCTATCAAGCTTTTCCTCAACCCAGTCCTCAGTACCCTCACCCCTTTCCCAAGTGTATGGGTATCCCTCCATAGGCAACTGTAACAAACCACATAAATCTAGTGTCTCCCCAAAACCTCGTAGCAAATTTTCTGGGCGTGGATTATTTCCTCGCTTCTCAGACTGGAATAAAAGATCATTAAAGTCACCAATGACAACCCATAGTAGTGTGGATTGCGTTGATAACCTCTTCAATAAATCCCATGACTCCCGCCTCCTGGATCTTTTTGGAAACCCATAATAACACGTTATTCGCCACGGGGGGTGACTTTCTAACGTGACCTCCACATCCACATGGTTTTTAGAGTAACTAATCAACCGTGCAGTGTTATTATACCTCCATAATAATGCCAAACCACCACGCTGTCGTTCAGGATCCACATAAAAGACCCCTTCAAACCCTAGTTTTACACGTAATCTTTCCGCATGATCACTCTTCACCATTGTCTCAATCAAAAATACAAAATCCGGCTTCTTACTGGACACCATGTCCACCACCTCCCGAACTGTCCGTGGATTGCCCAAGCCACGACAGTTCCAACATAACGTACTCATAATGACGGGCGGGACTGCACAGCAGTACCCGCCATGAACATGTTTTTTGACACATCGGCCATAGCTATATCCTCCTCCCCAGTCCGCCTCCCTCCCTCATACCCCTCCTCCCTTCTCCTCTTCGCCACCGCCTCCACCGCCGGCTCAACAAATACACCACCTCCCGAACCCACCCGCTCCCCCTCCACCCTTGACACACCCACCCGAACCCCCCCCCCCCCCCACCGCACCCCCAACCACATCTCTCGGCCTTCCACCCACAGGTACCAACCAGTTCTCCCCCACCTCCCTCAGTCCCCTACTACCCCCACCCTCATCTCCGGGCCATATGGATACTGCTGAACCGGGACCATAGAAACTCGAGCTTTCACGCAAAATTTGTAGGAATGCCCCATTAAACCACAGAAAAAAACAAAAGGAATGTAGTCTCTCGTACCTGAAGTTAACCCAACATGTAGTTTTATCACGCTTCAACAACTTCATGCGCCTCCGCAACGGCTTATCAACTGGGATCGACACACGGATACGATAAAACGCTAACTATGGCGCCCCCACGAACCTCTCATCATGCTTTACAAAGGTTCTAATGAAATTACCCATCTGCTCAAGTATTGGCTGTGATGTATATCCCATGGGCACATCATGCAACTGCACCCACATGTCAACAGTGTTCAAGACTACATTAACCGGCAGCACCCCATCATCAACTAGGCGACACACCAAGGTACTATTCTCAAACGCCCATGGCCCTCCATCGAGAACATAATCTACATCCGTTTTATGGAAGAAAATGAAAAGAAACAAACCCTTCTGTATCTCTGTCACCGTCACACCCATCACCGGTTGCCAAACCGAAGCCAAAACTTGTCTCATGTATTCTAGCTTAATCAATTTCGCTGTCAAAAATCTGCCCACAACACTCCATGTTTGACCGGAGGTTCAGCACCTGCATCCACCCCTACATCATCCGGCGGAAAACAATTTTCTTCATCTTCAATAGTGATGTCTGCCCACCTCTCTGCCAAAGCCTCGACATGCTCCTCCCCTCCCTCAAAAGCCATGCCGGACGCTCACAATATCCAGAAGCAATCAGCTGGTTACGTGTGCGAACCAACCAGCGCTCCTCCACGTCGCAACACACAGGAATTACGACGTAAGCCAAACAGATTTACGGCGCAACACAATCAGCAAGTCTCGACACAATCCAAAACAGAAGCTTCGACGTTAAAGAACGGATTAAAATCCGGGAAAAGTATTGAAATTGCAAAACCCTAGCCAAACCCTAGGAGAGAAAGCAAAACCCTAGCATTCTAGAGAGAAAATACGGAGTATATCTTTATTTTGAGTTTTATCGACTCTAAATTTACCATTTACAATTTTCATTAAATTATTTTTATATGCCATTAGGTATATTTGAAAAAAAAAAAAAAAAAACTATGAATACAATATGGTACATGCTGGGCTGTGGTCGAAGGACCATTATTCCTTGGATAACTGGCTGATAGATTGACAAAGAAATTGAGTGGAAATTAAGAGTCCTGCCTTTGAAACTAACATATGTTGTTCGGTTTAAAGTGAACTCACATTTGACTAATTAACCTTAATCATATTCTCTATCCCTAACAACATTCTGTTCCACCACCCACTAATCCTATATTGTTTATTTAAAAAAAAAAAAAATTGAATCAATAAATATCACCAATTTAAATTTAAATCTAATCAAATATCACTATTTAGTGCCATTTGCCAAGGACCTTATGGTCCAATGACACTAAGTTAACTCCCTTAAGTGGGAAGTTGTGAGATCGAGTCTTAGTGGGGGCGATATTGACTTTAATTAATTGAGAAAGTAGTTATGAACAGATACTACATTGTAGTACAATCAATAATATTCAAAAAAAAAAAATTATCAGTAGTTAGTAACCAAGAAGTCATAAATATAAATTTTTAAATAATTTTGAAAAATTCACTAATGAGATTAAAGTTTGCCATCAACGGACTAATTAATTAGGGTATGACTAACAATTAGGGACATCAAACACTTTAAACTTTGCACACTTTAAATTTGGATCTTATAAATGAAGTAATAAAAATTAAAAAAGACTTTTTATTGTAATTTGTCAAGGTAATTAGAGCTAAAGTCTAGGAACTATTTTATCGACTAAAATCAGGAGCTAGGACTTGATTTTAGTACATAGGTCTCAAGTCATTGATCTTAACTAAACTAACTTGTAGATTCCTAAATGACTTTATAGTACTTGTTTCATTTGATTAGCTTCACTAACACATACATAATAGCCCCCACGGTAACTATTAAATGTAAAGAGTCATGGTAAAAAAAAAAAAAAAAAAAAAAAAAAAAAAAAACCTACCCCAACTTATCAGGGTACAAGACAGTGAAAAATTAGTTTACCATAACAAGTTCCCTGAAAGATAAATCAAGTTAGTTGGTGGCTTAGCTAATGGAATCAAACATTGTGTGATAATTGCTGGTGGATGCATGTAATGTACATATAACATGATAATGATGAATATCATCTTAGAGCAAAGGATATATATACAAGGTTAGGTTCCCATGCGGATAGTGTTTCTGGTGCAGCCATGCGGTCACACACTATTAGGTATGTATAAATACACTACAAAGTATTCGAAATTGTAGCATTAGGTGTGGTGCATTTGTGCATTTCATTCTGATGCATTTCCGAACACTATGTGGTGCATTTCCGCATATCTAATGGTGCAATTCAAACGAGAAGCCCTGTTCTCATTTGAACCAGTATCTATGATACCCCAAAGTCACATATATCGTTAGTTGCCTTAAACTCAATTATTGCGTCAAATCTACCAACAAAGCTCTGATTAGCGTAGCAAATTAAATTAAAGGCAACGATTAACCATGGGGATAAAACTAAATTAAAGCTAAGGTTTTTATGAATGAAGATGTGATCCATGATCCTCTCCCACAATAATCATTCTCGTAGTACTAGAAATAATGTTCTAGTCGATGTAATAAGTTGTTAATAGACATCATTGAACTTATTGACATTATTAAAGCTTGTTTTAAGTGGGGGAAGATGGGATGTCATCCATGAAGACTTTAGCTCGCATGCTTGTGATCCAGTTCACATGACTATATATATGAGTTTCCATTACTATTACTTTACAGACTGTATGACCCTGTTTGGTAAATGGCTGTTAGCTATTAGTTGATTGGATTAATTAGATGGTATAACTAGTTGATAACATTAGCTGATTGTGGAAAGGTATTTGGTAAATTAGTTGTTAGCTGATAGCTGTTTGGTATAATTTCTTTTCTTAAAAAAGCTAATTGAAAAAGTTGTTTTGAGCAATTTTTTGAATTTTAGCATTTAAAGTTACAAAAAGCTAATTAACCAAACACTTATATTGATTTTTTAACAAAATCAAAAAGTTAATAGTGGTCAAATAAGCCAAAAATAGGGCAAATTATGTTGTGCATCCGTATGCACCATGCATGGTGCATACGGATGTAAAAATAACGTCGTTTTATTAAAAACGCGCGTCTCACTTAAAAAAAAAATTTATCCAGAATCAATGAACTAAAATTCCAGAATCAATGAACTAAAATTCCAGAATCGATGAACTAAAATTCCAGAATCTATGAACTAAAATTCCAGAATCGATGAACTAAAATTTCATAATCTATGAACTAAAAATCCATAATGAATGAACTAAATATCCATAATGAATGAACTAAATATCCAGCATGAATGAAAAAAAATCAGTTTCGATTCACGTCTAAATATCCATAATCAATGAACTAAAATTCCAGAATCTATGAACTAAAATTCCAGAATGAATGAACAACATAATGCTGTTGAGGGGAATCGAAACTGGATTTTTTTTTTTTAAGTGAGATGCACGTTTTTAATAAAACGGCGTCGTTTTTGCATCCATACATGGTGCATACGGATGCACAGCATAACGATCCCAAAAAGTGTTTGTTTTAGCTTTGTTTTTAATCTGAAAATCTTTTTAGTTTTACCATTTTCTCAATTTAACAAAGGATTTTGAAAACAGTTTTTTCTTGTTTTTTAGATTATTTCAAATATGAAAACAAACATAACTTTAGCTATTATTCTTCCAAAAGGCTGAACCCCAATCCTAAGGACCCCCTACACCCCGACCCGATAGAGCATTTGAAAGGATGTAAATCATGGTAACTCAACTGAACATGATCTACAGAGGCTAGACTGTGTTCACTGCGCACAGGAACCCCCTTCACTGCTGCTGGTGAGACTCGATCCCTGATCACTTGGAATCCCCTTCACTGCCGCTGGTGAGACTCGATCCCTGATCACTTTATCTATAATCGCTATTATTATTATTATTATTATTATTATTATTATTATTATTATTATTATTATTATTATATTATTTGTAAACTTCCACTTAACATATTTATCTACTCATATATTATCTATCCAACTAATAACTATACGTCTATACATATAACCTACCTATCACCACCCATATTTATTTACTCCCATCACCACCGTTATTCATACTATCTATATATCTACTACTATGACTACATATAATAATATTATTAATTTTTTTATTCTACCCATGTTATTAGGATTGATAGTAGGTAGGAGGTACCCGTTTATTTAGTTATTTTTAAATATGAATCTAAGTATATATATTTTTTTTGAATGTTACTGGTTCTATTACATTGTAGTATCTGTTCATATACTTTCTCAACCTACTGAAACACAAAGAACCAATAACGCCTCCACCGAGGCTTGAACTCACAACCTTCCAAATAGAAGTCCAACCCGGGTACCATTAGACCGCATAATCTTGGTCTAAGTATATTTAGAACTACCCGAATACAAATTAATATTACATGTACCTTTTCCAAATCTAATCGGCAATATCCATATAGTACTTAAAATCATTCCAAAATCTGTTTAAAAAAAATAGACACACACAGACACAAAATTTGATATGGAAATTTCAGTACTACCCAAACCTGATTCAAATCCAATTATCAACTATTCTAACCCGTCGTATAGAGTTCTAAAGGTCATGACCACAATATTATTTTATTTGTTGTCATCCATAAATAATATTCTTATTACTCGAATTAAAATTCAAAAATAACACTTAAAATTTTTAATATTCGACATAAAATTTAGATATAACCTACTCAACTCAATGCACACACATAACCACACTACTTGATATTATTGATTTATTATCACCTACCACTAGCGTTATTAATAGGTTTACATCAGAAAAACAATTGATAAGCACGTAGGTTTGAATAATTTTTTGTTTTCTCATTTAAAAAATAATATGGATGATAAAACATTTTCTATTTTTGATGGAAAAATAAATTAAAAAATACTGTCGAAAAAGAAAATAATTTTTTTTTAAAAAAAAATAGAAAAATGCACTAAACAGACCTATAAGTGCATCATTTATAATAAAGAACATCAAAAGCTTACGTTAAAGTTGTTTAATTATGACTACTTTTTATTATATCATAGTTTTAACTGTCTAAACAGTTTACTATTGTTTGCAAAGTTCGCCTCTTATTCCCTTTAGGAGCCCTAACATATCTTCTGGAGGAGCCTCAAGAATTGTCGTTCCCCCTTCCGTAAATTAATCAAGATTGGCAAGAAAATCAGCACACCTATTTTCTTCCTTTATAACGTGCATGAAACTTCCTCAAACTCCCGAGACAAGAAATTTGAAATCAGTGATGAGCGTAAAGACAAAGTCACTAATTAAGGTCATGGTTGTCACTCATCACCTTGACCAGCTTCCGAGCTTCCAAGTTCAATTATATATTTATTTATAGTTTAGGGTAATTAAGAAGTAAACTTAGGTTGTATTCAATCAAAGACTTTTTATAGTCTTTAAAAGTAACTAGTAATTCACCCGCGCGATGCACGGAAAAAAATTATGGTATTATAAATATAAATAAAAAATAAAAAAATAAATATTTTAAATTATTTAATATAATAATATTTTTGAGCTTCCATTGGTCAAGTATTTATTATTTTTATAGAATACAAAATTACAATTAAAATTAAAATTAAAATTTTGTATGGTTAATATAATCTCTAATTATGTGCATATTCAAATAAACTTATAGAGATAATTTACATAATTACATTGATTTATTCTTAATTGTATTTCATCTATATTATAATTTTCACAATACAAATAATAACTAAGATAATTACATTTTGAAAGCAAATTTCAAATTTTGTATGTGTAAATTTAAACTCTAATTGAACACATTTTTTATATGATTATATAATATATAGCTATTTTAATTTATTTTTCAAAAGTATATTTTTTATATGATTATATAATATATAGCTATTTTATTTTTTAAATGTTGTGTTTTTTTTTTATATAT